AAATTATGAATCGACCAGCACTAATTGTCTTTAACAAGACACATTTAAAGCGAAAAGGCGCTATTTCTCACACTCTGACAATCAACGCATCTCACAAACATTAAATACATTTGATAGAACTGTTAACCACTCACTATCGTTCTTTATTTACCCCTGTACTACGCATTAGTAAACAATTAGCAATGTGAAAGTTAGTCAAGGTGGAAGTGATGAAATTGTCATTGAAATATTAAGTTTTGAATCAAAAAATGCTTAACTAAAGTTGTAAGGCTTAAGTTTAAAAATACTGTACATGAATCAAAATAATTTATATATTTATAGGGAAGACCATTGCTGATTTAGAAGAATATCCCATTTAAACCATTAAATATATTTCTTGCCGAAGTCAGTTCATTCTATGTAAGATGTCGAAGCAAAAAAAGGGAATGCTTAGTTGTGAAACTGTGGCATGATCCTGGGATTAAGAATAGCAGGTACATAAACCCCGTTTACACGAAGCCCTTAAAGCGGTTTCAAACCGGTTCAAGATCAAAGCGGTTTTAGTGTAAACACTTCAATGCGCTTCCTAATGCGACTTATGTAAACCACCTCAAGTAGGTGGTTTGAAGTGTTTTAAGGCGGTTCCAACACCCGCCAATATCAACCGCGAACAGCTGCTAGTGCTTGTAGTTATCACAATGTCTTGGTCAAATTCTGAGGTGAGAGCTCTGATAGCTATATGGGGAGAAGAAGACATACAATCACAGCTAGATGGAGCAGCAAGAAACAAGAGTATTTTTGAAACTATTTCTAAGAAAATGCTTGAAGTAGGATACTCCCGAGACTGGAAACAGTGCCGCTGTAAGATAAAAAATCTAAAGTCTATCTACAAGAAAACAAAAGACCACAATGGCATTACAGGAAATGGCAGGAAAACTTTCAAGTTTTACAATCATCTTGATCAAATCCTTGGCCACAGACCAGCTTCAGTACCATCTATAGTTGTTGATACACAGGACAGTGGTGACGATGAAAGTGATATTATTGAACATGATCTTAATGGTAAAATAAATTGAATTAACAATAATTATTAGTCTATTATAAAACTGATAGAATCCGACTTCAATAGTACTACTGCAGTGCCAGTGGAAAGTGCCACACAGGAAGAGCCTATCATAAACAAAGAAAATGGTAAATAGTACATGATCATGTATACTGCATGTATGCATATGCAGTATAATACTATTTGAACTATGTTATAGTTTGACTATAGTACATGTACTAATGGCATACTAATCATAGTTATAGTAGCATCTCATTACAGAATCTCCAAAGCCATCAAAGCCAGTTCAGCCAAAGAAAGTAAAGAAAACTAAAGGAGAAAGATTCATGGAAAAAGCTATAGAGGGGTTTATGAAGTATCAGGCAGAAGCTGAAGAAAAGTTTATGCAAAACGAAGAAGATCGTTGGAAGAGAGAAGTTGAACTGGAAGAGAAAAGAAGAAGAGAAGATCAAGAGCATGAGATTAGGCTCTTTCAGATGCTGGGAGAAATGCTACAACCGCCTACTGCCTCACCATTTGACTATGAATACTAATTATTATTATTGACAGAGGAAGAGAGACTGGCGGAGAGAGACTATTATAATAAAAAATAATTATTACATGTATTACATAATATAATAC